TTGTGGCAAGTTCTTAAAGAGATGAGAGTACCTGACCATCTTATTTGTCTCTTGAGAAACCTATATGCGGGTCAAGAAGCAACAGTAAGAACTGGATACGGAACCACTGATTGGTTCAAAATTGAGAAAGGAGTTCAGCAAGGCTGTATTCTGTCGCCCTGTCTATTTAACTTATATGCAGAGCACATCATGAGAAAGGCGGGCCTAGATGAATCACCAGTTGAAATTAAGATTGCTGGGAGAAATATCAACAACCTCAGATATGCAGATGATATCACTCTCATGGCAGAAAGTGAAGAGGAACTAAAGAGCCTCTTTTGTGCTCTCCTCCTCTTTTAAAGGAGGAGAGCGCAAAAGTTGTCTTGAAACTCAACATTAAGAAAACTAAGATCATGGCATCCAGTCCTCTCATTTCCTGGCAAATAGATGGGGAAGAAATGGAGTTAGTGACAGATTTTATTTTCCTGGGCTCCAAGATCTCCGTAGATAGGAACTGCAGCCAAGAAATTAAAAGGCGCTTGCTCCTGGGGAGGAAAGCTATGGCAAATCTAGACAGCATACTAAAAAGCAGAGACATCACCCTGCCCACAAAAGTGCGTATAGTCCAGGCTATGGTTTTCCCAGTTGCAATGTATGGCTGTGAAAGCTGGACCATAAGGAAGGCTGAGCACAAAAGGATGGAGGCCTTTGAATTGTGGTGCTGGAGGAGACTCCTGCGAGTCCCTTGGACCACAAGGCGATCAAACCGGTCAGTCCTAGAGGAGATCAACCCTGACTGCTCTTTAGAAGGCCAGATACTGAAGATGAAACTCAAATACTTTGGTCACCTAATGAGAAGGAAGGACTCACTGGAGAAGACCTTGATGCTGGGACCAATTGACGGCAAAAGGAGGAGGGGACGGCAGAGGATGAGGTGGCTAGATGGAGTCACTGAAGCAGTCGGTGTGAGCTTGAGTGGACTCCAGGAGATGGTGGAAGACAGGAAAGCCAGGAGGAATGTTGTCCATGGGGTCGCGATGGGTCGGACACTACTTTGCGACTAACAACAACATTTGAGCTTTCATATTTTGGCTATGAGGCTTCTAGCAATTAAATACAAACGCCTAACTGGGTGTCCTTCTCCAGACATATGCAACTTATAATATGGCACTTAGATCTCTCCAACTGATTGTTATATCTCTCCATACGTTTGTGGCTCATTTCCTATCTTCCTGCATTTAGGCAATCAGAAACATTTTCCTCTTGATTCCCTAGAGATGATTTAATCCAAATGGATGCTTCTTAGCTCATCAGCTTTTTGCTAGCTTTGCCCTGCCACTTTTTCTAATATTATGCATCTGCAGTCTGATACTCTTATGGTTCAAGTGGAGCCCATTGCTTCTGCACCAGCCTGGCTTGTCCCAAAACATTCCCTGTTGTTTAACAAATCTGAACCCTCCTTTCTACACCACTATCTCATCAACACATTGAGATTCATCAACTGTGCCTTTCTACCAGGTCCTGTGTATGGAACAAGTAACATTTCTGAAGAAGCCACCTTGGTTTTTCTGGGTTTCAACCATTTAGCTCGTAATCTCAGTTTGGCTTCTAGGCCCTCAATTTGACTTCCACAACCTCAGTAAAATGACCTGGACCTTTTTGGGCCTTACCTGAAGGAAAGATGGATTTAGCAATGGTGACTTATAAAGTGAATAGTGGGCATGTGTTAGGATCTAGCAATCATCTTCTAGGTGCATGCAAGGCTTGAATATACCTGGTGAGATTTTTTTAAAAAATAGCATGCACATTCCTCTCCCATAGTTACATTGAAAGGCATAGTAAGATAAATTTGCTGAAATATATCTAATCTGTTTATGTTTCATGTATGTATGGTAGTTTAGTACATTCACTTTTATCTCTGCTTATCCAATTCCTTCATTTAAAGACTCAGTTCAGAATTAGCCAGACTTACAGATTTCAGAACTCTAATGGGATTGCTCTTATTCCCATCCAAGTTATACTTTGTCTTTTCCCCTTAAGTTTTTTTCCCATCATAGTTTACAATGGAGTTGGAATCAGTGCTAACCAGAATTGTATCTGAAGCATGTTTTGCAAGATCATTTTAAACTATGATTTGGAAACAAATCCCTATACTTTTCCTAACCATTTTCCTAACCATTGTTTGCCTGATTCAGATATTATTGCAGACTGTAGTCAGTGAAGAAGTAAGGTAATCAGTAGCATAGTTCTCAGTCTCCCTCCAGGTTATGGTTTGGAGGATTGCAACATGGTCTCTGATTTAAGCTGTATTTTTTTAATAGTTCATTGAAGCTGTCTGTGATGTGTTATGTAGTCACCACATTCACTTAGTACTGTTTTGTGAGCTTTCTTATGTATACATATAGTATATTTATCTGGTTGCCTGTCTTTTCTAGTTCAGTCCTTGCATCATGAATTGGTAGTAAGAATTGGTGCCATGGAAAATGGTATATTGACTTTACTGGTGAGCATGAGCACAAAATGTGAGAATTAATTTTCTTGTTTGCTTGAGTGGCTAGATTTCCCTGGCACCACCATGCTTTGCATGCTTGGTATGTCATCTTGGTTTATTGCAATCCTGCAAGTGTCCTTAGAAAGCCATAGAGTATACACTCTTTAAAATGAAGTGCAGATCATGTGCTGCCCATAAATATGCTAGCTTTTGAGTTACAAGCCTTTCTTTTGATTTATCTGGACAGTGACATAGGCTTATGGTTGGTAAAGTTTGCAAGCAGCAAAAAGTGTTTGGATTAGTAATTGGCTTGTTAGTGATGTGTGAAAACTTGCAGGTTTTACAGTAATGACTATAACCTTAAATTTCTCAGCTCTTTGTCAGTCCGTATGTTCCTGTGAAATAGTCTACTGGGAAAATGGAGTGCTGAATGGATAAGTCTCAGAATAGATTTATTTTTAAACACCATTCTAAAGAAGCTGTCCTTGAAAAGCAGCTTGAGCTTGCACTATTGCCAAGGGAGAAGGCAAGGAAGAATTAGGTACAATTGGCCCATAGTGGTAACCCATGGATTGTTGGAAGTGAGTGTGGTGTTTCCTACACATGTATGGCTTCTGTTTCATTTCTGTTTTTTAAAACAACCTGGGAACATCCCATTCTTGAATTGTTCATTGTGACACATGAACCTGGAACTCTGGTTTTTTGAGGGGGGAAAATCAGAATTTTATCCTATAGTACATTTTAGATTGCCATGGTGTGTTGTTATTTCCGAAGTGCAAAAGAAATGGAAGCAGTGAGCAGGCCAGAGACAATGTGCTCTTTTGTGCACGAATGGCCCAAACTAATTATGGGTCATATATAAACCATGGATGATCCTGACATGCAAACTGGGAGAATTGAAGATGGAACAAGACCCTGAAATGTTCTGTTCCAGTTTGCTTTAGTGTTGAAAGGAGACATGCTTTTGTCTGGATTACATCATGTCTGTGATGAAACAGAATTGCTAAATATTTTGATTTATTTAATATAATATCTAAAACATTAAGCAATTGCAGTTATAAAATATGCATGAACTTCAAATGCATTCTACCCATAATGTAGTGTTGTAATTGAAAGTCTAGAATTTTTTTAAAGACACTGTTGACTTCTGTGTACAAACCTTTGCATGATGAATGCAAAATGTGACATGGCTTCTGTGCTTGAACTGCCTAAACTAACTTCAAGATGCAAGTGCTTTAGACAGGGTACATTGAAGGCATCATATGACCTAGTTCACAGAATTTCAGGCCAATTAGGGAAGACATTAATGTAAACGTTAATGATGTGAAATATGTACTTTTGACAACAGAAACTGATCAGATTGTGTTTTTCCATTCTAGGTTTTTGTTACGACAACACATTGCATGGTGTTGTGTGCAGCCTTTAGAAGAGAATTGTCTACCATGTGCTAGGATACGAAGTTTGCATTATTTGACTTGTGTTTCTGGATTATAAAAAAGAAACAGAGAAAATGGGGAGAAAGAAAATACAGATCACAAGAATAATGGATGAACGGAACAGACAGGTGAGAAATTATATCTCTTTGGGGTTACACTTACTATACATTCATTGCTTTAAAAGTTCTGATTAGAACTATTGAATTGTCCTTGTGGCCAAGCCCTGTTTGTCCCTTGGACCTTTTCTTTGTGAGTCTGCCTTTGACGTGCATGCACCTTGAGAATCTTGAGCTAAGCATTGGCTGCTAAATTCATATAGTAAGAATCTGCAAGATTTTTCAGTTGTGTGCAGCTGCCATTTTGGATATCCAGTTCCTGCTTGAGGATTGTCTTGTCATGTGAACTAAGCAGGTGTGGTTTACGTGAAGGGATTGGATATGCACAGTGGTACCTGTCAGGACTGCAGTTCAGTGTGAGCTAAATAGTTCATGATGAACTGTGCCTTGTTATGTGCATCAGGTTGCAGTGGAGGAGGATTCAAAGAAGCTGACTGATGAATTCAGGAAGGCCTGCAAGAACATTTCTGTAATGTCTTAGGATAGCTCTCCAGTGTTTATATATACTTGTTTCTTCAGCGTCCTGAAGCAGAAACATTTTAATTGGTATCACTGTGATCCTTCATGCTAGATGTGGCAGTCATCACTTTTATCTGAATCTTTCTACTTTTTTTAAGCCTCTTGATAATCATGGGAGGACTGGTAACCTTGCTTGTAGGTATTGGTTCTCTTCTGTTTCTTTGCCTTGCCTGCTTTGGGAAATCTTAATACCTTTTACCATTACAATCCCAGTGGTGACAGTTGTGTTATTGTCTTCCGCAGTGTATGTTACCCAAATCCATGTCATTGTAATACCTTTATTAGGCCAAATAAAAAACCTCACTAAAAATTGAGCTTCCTTTAGAGATCTTCAGATCTCTTCATCAAGCAAGGTGTTATACAGCCTGGTTGAGATATTGTAGCAACATGGATTTTGGAAGTTTTTTTAAGGTCAACATGACTTCCTTTGTATTTTGCTGAGGCCTTTTATTCTTAGCCCTGTAGCAAAACACCAAAATGGAGGAGGCAGGTTCTATATAGCCAGAAACTCAGACTTTATTCTTTAAAGATTTATCCCTTGCAGCTGATAAAAAATTCTTCCCAAATTGGCTTTAATTGGCTTATTACCTGGAGGTGCATCTAAAATTATCTCTTAGTTTGTTACTATAAAGATTACTTAATTTCTCTCTTTGGTACAGTTGCGAAAGGAGCACATGTTCTTCAGTCTGGAGGAACAACGCTTCTGAGAATACAAACTTATTTATATTTCCTGAAATGAAGTGACCAACATTCCCCTCCTCCCCATCTTCCCAGCATAACTTGGGGTAGCAGGACTTTCCTGTAATCATCACATTACTTGCTGACCTGCAGATTCATCCTCTCACACTACACCTTGAGACTAGATTGAACTTATCAACAGTGTGACTTTACCATAAAGTCAGCCTTTTCTGCTCTCCCAATTTAAAACATGCCTTTATAATATGTTGCTTTATGAGTGTATCTCACAAGCTTGCATGGTTTTTTGGTTGGCTTAAAATAAGTATCGCAGAAATATTGATTTTGGAAAGATTGTTATGGTCAGCATGGCTACTTTTGTTTTTGTTCCCTTAAGCACAATTTTGAAAAAAAGAAATTATTTCAATAAAGAACTAATATGATTTTTGCTGAACATTTATTTTACCAGTTGATATGACTTATTACAGTGTCTCAAATAATGCAATCCTCATTTCTTTTTTCATTTATGAACTGTTTTCTGTGCTATAAGGGCAAGTTTGCACACTCATAATAAGCCACATGAACTAAGTACTATATGGGACCTATTACCTGGGGAAGGTGTGGGCTCTCCCTCAGTGGAGACATTCAAAAAGCACCTGGACAGTCATCTAAATGGAATGGTAGATTGTAGGAGGTTGGACCTGAGGGTCTTCTGGCCCCTTCCAGCTCTACTGTTCCATGAGTCTATGTGTGCTGCCTTACTTCTATAATTACTTGCACCATGCACAACTTACCATATCAGAACCTGGTCAGTCAGGTAGTGGGTGTGGCTTCCAAACCAGCCTGGAACCCATGGCTTACTTTATGGTTCTGGCATGGGTTGGAATCTAGGCCTTCTGGCAGCCCTCTTCAGGTTTAGAAGGTACAGCTACCTGTGTGTACTGTGGGCAGCTCCGGAAATTAGGCTGTGTGGGGTGGATGCATAGGATGTCTTTCTCTGATTTTGTAAACCCAGCTGGTGGCATGACTGATGAGCCCTATTTGATTTCAGTTGGTCTAGTAGTCTGAGTATGAACTGAGCATGAATAAATTTAGATCCAGACCGTTGTGCTAGTAGATAATCCTATTAGTTTTCACAAAGTCTTTTGACTGTACTTGGTTCAGTAAAATTATTAAAAGTACTACTAAGTCTACTTTCATATTCCCAGCCAGTTCTCAGTTCTCAAACTGTATTCTTAGTTAGCATGCTTTCTTTTATAATCTTGGGAAATGTTGTGGTAGTACTGTCCATTTACAACCGATTTTCACAAGCAACCTAGTTAGGAAACTCTTAAAATATTTCTTTTCAGATAGGATTATACCTAAGCTCACCACGCTGTATACAAAGTAACTGATACCCTGGAGGGTTATAATTACCATGAGCATTCATTGTAGTAGTAATTAGGAACTCTTATCTGCTTGGGTGAGCTCTAGGCCATTTATATAATTGAGCTAGTCTGAGTAAACTATTGTAAACTGGCTATCAAAGGGACACAGTGTCAAGATAATCAAATATTCTCCTTTTTTATCTGTAAAGGAATATGGGAGAACCTATTTACATTTTCTGTATGACTGAAACATATAAATGTGTTTTACAAATGCAAAACAAAACATTTCTAAATGTTTGATTGCTGATTGATTTAGTAAAATTCTCAGAAAAAGTGTTGTCCTTAATTTGGAACAAAGTTGCCAAGAACATATTTTGTCTTGTTGACTTGTTGATGTGGTAGAGAGTAGAAAAAGGATTTGTGTAGAGCATGGGTAGACAATTTTTGGCTCTCCAAATGTTGTTGGACTGCAGTTCATACTTAGGCATGAGTTAGCTTCAGTTAATTTAGTTAGCTTCAGTTATTTTTTTTTTAAATCAAGTTTTACCTGGTATGCATATCCTGAACTAAACACAGACTCCCATGCTATCTACAGTTGCAGTCTGTGCATTTTCAAACTTGCAACGTGAATCATGGACCTCCAAAATATATTAAATGAAAAATACATATTTTTAAAGAATGTGCACAGGCATCCCTTGACAAGTGGGAGATGCGTGTATACATTTCATAGATGTGCACATTTGAAAAATACATATGAAAGTCTGCAGGGAATGTTCATGTGAAAAGAAAAAAAAAAACCTGATCTCAGTCTCCATATAGACAGAAACTAAATGACTGCTGAGGTAAAGTTAGGGGAGTGTTGAGCTTGAAGTTTGCATGTAATTGCACCTCTGTTTGCATCTGGCGTAACCAGCATTATCATTGGTTTGGGTTTATGAGAGTTGCAGTCTAAGAACTTCTGGAGGATCACAAACCACCCACTCCTGGCCTTGGAAGATGGCTCAGTTCCCAACTAAGGGTACATTCCTAATTAACATGATGACTGGGTTCAGACATTGCCCATTGCTCAGAGTTCAGTATTGGCTATTGTTGAGATAACAAATCATGGTGAACAACGCAGTCTGAACAACACAGCAACAAACTGGGCTATTTCTGATTAATAACCCATGGCTTGCTTAACATAGCTGGGCTCAGACAACATAATGCATGTTTTAACCCACAGTGAACCACCAACTCAAAACCCTTGAGGGTGAGTTATGTTTTGGGAACCTAGCCATTGTGTTACTCCACACATACATACAAAAAGTGTCTGATACTAAGTGTAAAAAAATCAACATTGTGGATACAGTCAAGTTGCTGTATTTAACTTATAAAGCCTTATATAGGTTAGGACCACCATACCTGTTAGAGTCTCTCTTCCAGCTGTGATCTAGTAGGAAACTGAGAGATGACTTGGGCATACAACAGATGACATTTACGCTACAGCTGCATTTTTTTCATTATGCATGCAGTTTGAACATAGATGCATCATTCAAACTTTGCAGCAATTTTATCTTGGCTTTAACATTCAGACTCTGGATTGTTCGAAGTTAGAGTTATTTGAAGTATAAGGCACCACTATATTTTTATTATCTATTTTTATGAACTGTTTTAAACCACCAGAGAGTTTCAGTTGTGGTGTGGGACAGAAATGAAATAATAGAAACCTAGAAACAGAGTGAGTCAGAAGAGTCTGACCCCTGGCTCCAGCTGGCTCCACTCATGACAAGCATAGTGCCTGCTACTTGTTAGGTCTCAGGACTCCAGTAGGAGAGGATGGCCTGCAGTTTTACATCTTCTGGAGCACTTAGAGTCTTGGGATGGGGTAGAAAATGTAGGGACATTTAGATCTATCAAGGGAACACAAAACAAACAAAAAACAAAAACCCCAACCCTTGAGTATCCCAGAACTAAAAGGGAATCAATCCTACCAATTCTTTTTACAATAATTTGTCTCTTTGCTTTCCTTTTGGCAACTGTCAGAACAAAACAAGTACACACATGCCCTATTGGGAATTTCTCTGGCTCAGTGTCCATGTCTGACACCTATTGTATTTGATAGCAGGTACATGCCAGGCCATACATTGTTGCACCTCTGAAATTGAGCAATTTCAGCTAATAAATTAATTTAAAAAACAAAGATATAACGTATGTATACTTGGGATGCAAATACATTGCCACTGTGCCTGAAAGACCTGTGCTGTGCCCTGCCCCAGAGCAAAGTTTCCTGGTCTGTGCCTCACCTCCCCCTGCCTGCAACTGCCAATGCTGCTAGGTGGCTGCTGCAGTGCAGGGGGGAGGGATGCAGCCATGATGCATTCCATCCTGGGCCACCCTGGAGGTGGGACTACAGCATACTGGGGCCCTAATTCCAGGGACTGCAGCCAAGCTGGTGCCCATTTGGAGGTCATT